AGGAGGTTGGTGGGTCTCCTAACCTTACTTTTACGGCTTCGGATGTGTATAATGCATTATCATGTGATAAAGCTGCCAAACTTGATGGATGTGATAGCAATCAGTTGATTAAGTATTTTGCAAAGAGACATGTAGATGAGGCAGATTTTTATTATGATTTTGAGCAAGATGATAGTGGTGCCTTGGTTAGTTTTTTTTTTTTTGCACGATGGAAGAATGCTCAGAGATTATCATTACTTTGGAGATTTATTGGTCTTTGATACAACATATAAAACTAATAAATATGGAATGATTTGTGCTCCTTTTGTTGGGATGAACCATCATGGTAAAAATGTGATGTTTGGTATGGGTTTTATTCTTAATGAGCGCACTGATTCTTTTGATTGGTTATTTGATACATTTCTTTATTCAATGGGAAAGAAAAGTCCCATTACTATTATGACTGATCAAGCACAAGCCATTGCTGCAGGTATAAGAAACATATTCCCTTCAACTGTCCATCATCGATTATGTGTATGGCATCTTGAGCAAAATTCAAAGAAGCATATTGTAGCATTGAGAGCTTTGGATGGTTTTACAGATTTGTTCAGCTATTTATTGAAATATTGTGAAACCCCTGCTGAGTTTGAGTATTTCTGGAAAAGGTAATATTTTTATATTTTACTCTTTATGTCTATTTGATAATTCTTAAAATATGATCATTTTATTATTCATATATGTACATTACTTGTTTTAATTTGATCATTTGTCATTCTATTATTATATGGAATCTGTACATCTTTATGGTTATTTAAATTTTGTGTTTAAATATGAACATTTATATTTATATAAATGTTCATGCAATTACTTTCTTTATGTTCTTTATTGAAATGATAAATGTTCATTTCTGCTTCACATAATGTTGGTGAAATATAATTGTGCAAATGATGATTGGTTGTGTGATTTGTACAAAATAAAGGAGATGCGGTGTCCAGCTTATTCTAAGAAGTTTTGGTTTGGTGGTATTCTATCTTCTCAACGTAGTGAAACTACTAATAAGTCAGTTTCTCATAGACTTAATAAGACACAAGGTCTATGTGACTTTTACCATGTTTTTCTAGATGTTGTTTCTGAGTGAAGAAGCAAAGAAGGTGGTATAGATTACAATAATTTGAGGGGAAATAGACATTTAGCTTTTGCTAACAGTGGGATCTTAGTTCATGCAAGAACTATATATACTATTCAGGCTTATGTGCTTTTTGAAGAGCAGTTCATCAAAGGTACTGCATATGATCATCGGGATTCTGGTTTGCATTTTCCTGAATATTCGTATCATCTTTGGCATCCTGGGAAGGACATTGTCAAACATGAAGTTGTTTTTAATAAAGAAACACATGCAATCTTTTGCACTTGCATGTTCTTTAGTGAAATTGGTTTGCTTTGCTCTCTTTCTCTACGAGTATATCATTTGCATTGTGTTCGTAAAATTCCACGAGAGTACATAATGAAACGCTGGACAAAGGTTGCTATGTGTAGTCATGGTATTGAAGAACTAACTTTGAGAACTAATGTTGTGGCTACAAGTGTGTGGAGGTCACAAACACTAAGGAAATTTGTGAAGTTGGTAACAAGTTGTCAAAATTCATTGAATGCAAGGGCAGAGGTTGATTGTTATTTTAACCTTTTAAAGGAAAAGGTTGAGAGTGTTTCTGGTGCTATAGATTTTAGTGAGCCTACCGAAGGTATTGAAATTGTTGATCATGAAGTCAAGAATCCACCAAAATCAAGGCCTGCTGGTGAGAGAAATTTTAGGCCAAAGAGTGCCTTAGAGAAAGCATGCAACAAAACAAAGGGTAATTGGAGGAAGAGAAAGGCTATTTATACTCCTTATATACGAGCTAAAGGTCAATATGTTGTTCAGGTATTTATGATCATTTATGTTATCATATATGTTCATTTAATTCATTACATACAACATTATCTTTAGGAATGAACATTTATATAACTATATTTGATTATATATTTCAAACATAATTTTGTTTTTTTTTTTGCTAGGAATTTGATGAGAATGGATTTGCAATTAGTTATGCCAATTCTGTAAATGATCCTACTGACTTAATTGTTCTTGAAAACCCCTTACATCAGGTTTATTTATTTATTTTCTTTATTTTATGAATATTATTATAATTATTTTATAAAAAATAATTTAAAATAATAAATTATAGGTTGTAGATATTCCTTCTAGCTCAAAGGATTCTGATCAAAGTGTTCTAAATGAGGTTGATGAGGTATTTACAAAATTTTTAATAGATGCATTTTGTACTTTCCATTTTATATGTAGATTTTTAACATTTTCAAATTTTTTTTTAAAGGCTACTGGCGAAAGCTCTCTTTAATCCAATATATCTGTTGATCTAGATATTTCTGCTATTGCTAAGGTAATATCATCTTATTTGTTCATTTTGTTTTTAGAAATTGAACATTTAATTGTCTCATAATGTTTAATTTTCTTGTGTAGGAAAAGGATTCACATATATCTACAAATGTTCAAAAAAGGGTTCATTTTGGTTCTGTGAATGATAATGCTGCTAGTAGAGCTCCAAGAGTTCCAATATGTTCTTCTATTCTTCCTTCTATGCAAAAGAATGTTCAAGCCAATGCTAGTGGATATACATCTACAAATGTTTCGAAAAGGGTGCGTGTTGATTCTTTGAATGATCATTACGCTGTTAGGGCTCCAACAGTTCCAAAACATTCTACTGTTCTTCCTTCTACTCAAAAGAATGTTCAAGCTGGTGCTACTTCTTCAAGGGCTAATAATGAGAGTGCTTCTAATGTTACAAGAAATAATGATGTTGGTTCTGGACAGTTTTCTACCAAGTATGATAGATTTTTAGCTTTTTTTTATACTAATGTAGCTAAGAGATTAGCTAATAGTGGTAAATAAGAGAGCTCATCAGTATTTCATACTTGTTTTAAGAATTATATTGTCAGATTATATATCTTTTTTACACCATTATTGATATTAGAATGTGTTTCTACCAAATATTATCAATAGTCCCATTTTTTTATATATATATTTTGAAAATATGTTCTTTTTATTATTTATATATGTACATTATGTGTTCATATTTGATCATTTATCATAGTATTATATATGATTTTATCAACACATGCAACTTTTTATGATATATGATCATTTTGTATTTGTACATTTAATGGTCATATAAATGATCATATTTTAATATGAACATTTATGCTTAAATAAATGAACATTTTATATGTAATTTTTTTATACATGAAATTGATTAAATAGAAATATCCAAATACAAACTTTTTAAAATAATAATGCTGATATGTAAATGAAATTGTCTAAATATGAAATATTGTTTATACATGAAATTGTCTTTACATGAAATATGACTATATTACTACTATTTTTCCAACTTTGTTGCTTTTCTTCTGTTAATCCTAGACTCAGTGTTTTCTTCAAAAAGCATCAGTTCAACTGTGTATTACATCCTCAGTTTCCTTATTTGGTTTAGCTGCGAATAAGAATGAATTATAAGTTAAGAACAATTATATGTTATATAAATGAACATTACATGTTATATAATTGAACATTTGATATACTTACGTTGTTTGCTTTCAAATCACAAATCCATTCTTCATTAGGATCAGTAGTGAAAGTTTCCATATGCTTCATGATGTAGACTCCACAGTTTGTGTAGTTGGCATTGCTACGCCATTTCATTTTTTCCAATACAATTTGATAATCTTCAATGAAACTTGCATCCTCATAACCAATGTGTTTCATGTATGCAACCAATCCTTTTAGCTGTTTTGAACATTTATCAATCAATAAGTGAATATTTATTGATCAGAAAATGAACATTTAAATTACATATAATAAAAATTAGTCATTTATCAAAATGATTGAATAATATTTTAACTTACAATCATTTTTTGTTGGTCAAGATACTTTTGAGGTACTGATACATGTTGTGGTAGCTTTCTATTGTCGATGATATGGATGGTATCCTTCATATGATTGATGCACAACACGAAAAAATGATTGGCAGTTGCTACAGGAAAAAATATCTGAACAAATAATATATTGTTATTGAACATTTAATTTATTAGAATTGAACATGTTATAATATATGTATTGATGTTACCTATTTGTATCCAACAATGCTTTTGATTTTGTACATCTTCAATTCATTGTTTATTCTTTCTATGAATTCCTTACATGTTTTTTCCATTGTTAACCCCTCTCTGCAGACATTATTTGTGCACATAATTTGCTACATTTTTAAACATGTAAACATTAATTAACAAAACCTTTGTTGAGTAATAAATATCTAAAATAATTGAAATAAACTTACATGTGGCATTGTTGAGAAATATATCTTGTTTTTTGTGTTCTTATGATTTAGAATTGTTGCCCATGAATCTATGACACAATTCATAACTTGTACATCATCTCCAAGTGTTTTCATTTCTGCTCTATTTATGTTATTTAATCCATCATGATATAAAAGTGCACTGCAAATGAACATTAAGCAATGTGTAAATGAGTAATTTCTCAAAAACTTATAAAAGTTTATGTATTATGAATAAGTTACCTTTCATCTTCTCCACTATAAGCAAAGTCACATACAAGTTGATTCATTTTTTGCTCATCTTTAAAAAGATCTTTGTATTTGACCATATATGGAGATTAGCTAAATGCAAGAGGAAAAGTTTGGGATTGACGCTGTGGCCTCTTTGATGAACTGAACATATTATGAACCAAATATTATCATATATGTATGTACAAATGAACATTTAAAATAATTAGAAAATTAAGTATTGTAATTTATACCTTTCATCTATCTTCTTTTCTGGTTGTGTTTCATTTGACTTCTCAATGACTTTTTTTATATTTTCTTCCCTGAACAAAAAGTAATTTATATATGAACATATTGGTTCCCACAAATGTTAATTTATTTGTTGAGCAAGATATGTAATATCTTTACCTTTTGCCAGTCTCTGAGGAAGATGAATCTTTCTTCTTTTTCTTCATTTCAAGCAGGGCTCCTAATCCAATCTCATGTATCTCTAATTTATGTTCTGCACTCATTTGCTTTATCCATTGCATCAACTTCACATGGCCCCCTCTTGTTGATGCTTTCTATTCTTGAAACTATTCTTCATCAATTTCTTCAACTTCATCTGCCTCAATTATTTCAGTTTTTGCGTTCCTTTTTTCTTATCTTCACCTTCTGACTTATACACAACCAACTCTTGCACCTTCTTCTCAGCCTTTGGCTTCACCACGTTCTCCTCCTTCTTTGCTTTTTTCTTCTTTGGCTTAATTTCAACCTCCTCCTCCTCATCCTCCAATTCATCATCTTCCTCACTAACAGGTTCTTTTTCAGCTTTATAGACAGATTCTTCACTGTCATCACCACTGTCAAAAGGATCTTGAGATGGTTCATCAGATGGCACTTCTTGAATTTTTTTTCTTTTTCCAACATTTTTCTTGGCAGCTGAAAATTGACATGAATATAAAAGTCATCATATATGATTATCCATGTATTTAAATGAAATTTAATCAAATGACAAAATGAACAATATAGTTTTTATATATGATCATTCTATACATTGAAATTGAACTTTTATCACAAATCATTGTATACCTGCTTTTCTTTTGCCAGCAACCTTAAAAGTTTTTTGCAATTGTCCTGCAGGTCTCTTTTTTCCACCTATATAATTTTAAAGTTTTATATATTACATACAAATATTAAATTAATTAAAACATAACAAACTTTTAATCAATTGAACATATACCCTTTTTTCCTTGTTGTTCCACAACTTTCTCAGCAGGAGCACCAGCCATTTTTCTAATAGGTGCTTGAACATATTCAGCAGGGGCACCTGCCATTTGTTTTATTGGAGTAGGTGTTGTAGATTTCCTTGGAGAAATTCTTCTTTCCACACCTTTTTTTTGTGGATACTTCAGCAGGATCAGCAGTTGCCTCCTTTTGGCCTTCATTAGCAGATTCATCTAACAAAACATCTATTGTGTTTTTAAACTTTTTGTTAGTAAAGATAAATATTTTCTATTTAACATTAAATACAAAAGTATTATGTTTACCTTGGCTTCTTGTAACTCTTGTACTTGGCACTATAGGGGTTTTATTTTTGTTTTTTCTTGCTATTGTTTTTTCTTGCTGATAAATTGTAAATGATCATTTATGGAAAAGAATGTAAAATGTTTATTATTTACAATATAATTGAACATTTTACCTTTAGTTTCTTTCTGGGTTGCCTTTGGCATATCTTCCTTTTTCCCTGCTATACATATTTTATCATTGAAATAAATTAACTTTCTTGAACATTATATATTATGCAGATCCAAAATGAACTTTATATGTAATAAATATGTACATTTTAAAATTTTACCTTTCAGATCTGTTGTCTTTTGAGAAACATCTTTCACAGATTTCTCTATAGGGATTTTCTCATTTTCTGGCCCTTTATTCCCTTCTCCTAGTATAAAATTATATTAGGGAAATTTGAAATTTATGCAGATTAAAAATGAACATTAAATATAATGCAGATTAAAAATGAACATTTTATCTAATAAATATGTACATTTTACATTTTTTACCTTTTTGCATATCTGACTTTTGAAAAACATTTTCCACAATATTCTTTTCAGTGTTTTTGTCTACTTCTTGCCTCTTTTCCTCTTGTGCTTCTAAGAGAATTATTTCAGTCAAAATTGAAATTGATTAATCTTGTTGAACATTACAATAATTTATCATATATATCAAAAATGAACATTTTATGAAATAAATATGTACATTTTAACTTTTTACCTTTCAGCTCTTTCTTTTCAGGGCTTTTTTCTTTTTCAGGAATATTCTTCTTTACAGAATCTTTTTTCTTCTGTTTTTCTTTACCTGCAAAATGAATATGATTATTATAACTGATATATATAAACATTAAACAAAATGTTCAATATATGTGAACATTTACCTTTGTTAAATTTCTTGTACAACTCTTCCCTTCTTTTGAGATTTTTCATGATTCTCAATGTTGATTCATCGTACTTCCTGTAATTGTGAGATAGTGTTATGAAATTTTTTTATATAACATTATTTATTTTATTTTATTTAGTTATTCAAATTTGAACATACTTTGGGTTTTCTTCTATGTCTATATGTACTTGTTGCATCTTCTCCTTTAAAGTTGTTATTTTTGGCTTCTTTTGATCATCATTTTTGGTTTTTCTGATAATTTATTAAAAACATACATGAATATATAATTTTGACTAATTAATTATAAAATGAACATTTAGTCTATAAAAAAATGAACATAAAGTCTATATAAAATGAACATTTAATATTTCTTACTTTGGCCCAGTAGTTATCTTTTCTGTATTGCTTTTCCCCTCTGATTCAACTCCTTTTACCTTGCTGAAATCAATATTAGGTAATACTTATAATAAAAAAGCACATAAATGGTACACAAAATGGACATTTATCTATGATAAAATGAACATTTTTTATTAATACCTTTGATCAACATTATCTTTGTCCTTTTCAGATGGAATTGTATCCTGTTTTTGCTCCACATTTTTTTCACTGAATATTGAATATATTTATTAATTCTAATTTGTTAAAAAAAAATGAACAAGTATCATATGTAAAATGAATATTTTTTAATACAAAAGTTAGCATTAGCACACCATTGATCCCTACTCTCTTGTGCAGATTGATTTCCAATCTCATTTTGAGTAGCAGAGACATTCTCAGTTTGTTCACTAAAAAAATTAGGATTATTTTATATAATATGACATTGAAGTATAAATAATTTATATTATGAAGTAGAGCACTAGTTATTTTGGTATAAAGTTTTTATACCTCATTTGTTGATTTGTCTCTGGTGGTCTTGATTTTGACATAATAAATTTCACTCGAACCTTTTTTTGCACTAAAATTTTAAGAATTACCTAATAAGTTTGATATATATACACAATGTAGAATTATTGCATATAAAAACAACTATTTAATACATATAAACTTACTTGTTTAGAGTGTATCTTTGATAACTACTACCAAATTCATTTTGTTCAATAACTTTCTTTAGAGTTAATGGTTCAGATTTTCCATCTTTTAATTGAAGCAAGTGTATCTCTCTAAACGGTACATCACTACAATATAAATTAATTACATCGTATTAGTTTGAAGGCATACAACTGAAATGATTATTATCATATTTCTATATGTGCATGGAGTTTCAATTAAATGTGCATTTAAGCCCCAATGAATATTCAAAGAACAAATATAAATCAAACTATATCTATAAATGAACATTATGAGTATCAAATATGATCATATATGATTATATGATTATATAACTAAGATCGTGATAACATTATAAATAATCAAATCCAAATAACATATTAAACAATTATAAAACCATATGATCAGATACAAATAGTATATTCAAAATGAACATAATATATTATGTAAATGATTATATACCTTGGTATTGGAGACATTTTTAGATCTGTACCACTTGACTTTTCAATTTCTTTTAAAAGTTCAGGATCTACAATTGGACTTTTTTCGCGCTTTTTTTTCAATTTATCTAGAGGTATTTCATCATCATCTCTGTTTTTTAATTAATTGTTAAAATCGCACTATCATTGCAAGGAATTTAACAAAAATTATTATTCACACATAAAATCGCAAGAAATTGAACTAAATTAGGGTTCATACATTTCTTCAGTATTTTTCTCCGAATTACTCCGTTCTGAAGTGTTCTTCTGTAAAATGTTCTTCTCTGAAATGTTCTTCTGCAAACTAACACTACAATCCCAATAAATTGAACATAAATTAGGTTTCATACTTAAATCGCACTATAATCGCAAGAAAATGAACAAAATTAACTATATTACTTACTCTTGTTCCGATTTTGCAGTTTCAACTTCAATGTTCTTCTGTGAAGTCTCCTTTTGCGAAAAGTGATTCTTGCGATCTCAAAGGCATGCAAACAAAATATTCAATTTGCTCCAACCTATTATTAAGCTAAATTGGTTGAATATTAATGCAACACATTATTCTAAAATATTTGTGATCACTTGAATTAAATAACAAGATTAAAAAGGATTCTAAGCCGGTTGTCCAAATTATCTTATTAGGCGTGATTTTCAATTACATATTCCCTTTAAACATGCAATATGGTGATCAATAAATATAATAAAATAAACATTAACATTGGAAGAAATTTAACCATAATAGAGTTAGTCAAATCAAATATAAAATAACCTAATCATGATATTAGCAATATAAAATAAAATAACAGTAATTAATTTAATTTATTACTTACATTCAGCATGTTCCTTTAAATTGCTACATCATGAATAAACTATTAGTAACTTCAATAAAAAAATATAAAGTAAATGAAAATTAAATTAAATAAAAAGTAGAGTTGATTTGGTCCAAACCCTCAGTTATTTGTACCTTTCACGCCTTGGTTTAAGGACGAAACCTCGGGTTAAGTATAGACTCCTTGGAGTGCTTAGGGGAATTGTTTTGGAAGAATAAGGAGGCTAGAAATTAGGTTAAAGAGGGAGAAGATAATGATTTTTGGTGTAAGGTGAGAGAGAATGATTATTGGTGCCCCGAACTGCAGAAAGGGGGGGGGGGTCCTATTTATAGGGAAAATGAGCAGAGGGAACACGCGGAACCCTAAAAAATAATACCGTGTCACGGCAAAGAGCACCGTGACACGGTGACAAGCACCGTCAGACGGGGGAAGATCCCATGACACGGGGAAAAACTGACGCGGGAAATAATTAGGTTACGGGAAGTGAAAACGCGTTTAGGGATTACGCGGAGAAAACACGGAGCAATCCCGTGGCACGGGATGTGCACCATGACACGGGAAGAAATGTCGTGACACGACATTGTCCACCATGGCACAGTGCAGTATGCCGTGTCACGGTGTAAAAAGTACGCGGAAATTACACGGAATATCCCCGTGTCACGGAATGGGCACCGTGACACGGGAAATTGCACCATGACACGGTGCAAAATCCCGTGACACAGGAGAAAATTGTGCAGAATTAAAAAAATGGGCACCGTGTCAGGGAATAAGCCCCGTGACACGTCAGCTTTTGCCGCGTCGCGGCATTTTTGCTGCTGCGCGGTAATTTTAGTTTTTTACCCGTTTTTAAAATAATCATAACTTTTGATCCGTAACTCGGAATAAGGAATATAATATATCATTGGAAATATTATCAAGTATAATTTTCAACCCGATTGAAATCAAGTCAAAATGATATTTAGATTTTAATATATGGCCGTTTTAGTGGAAGGGTGTCGGTTTTAGGCCGAGTTTAGTGTTTTGCTCATATCTTTTTCGTTATAGCTCGGAATTGAGCTTATGATATATGGTTGGAAAGCTTATTTAAAGGCCTATCCAACAAAATAATAATTGGATCAAAATTGTATATCCATAAAATCAGTTTCTCTCAGTTTTGCGATGTGGACACGAAAAGTGGAAAATAGGTTATGGTTTAGGGAAATGAGCTAGAAATTGGATTGGTTCATGAAATATATTGGATATAACATGGATTTAAGCACTCCAAATATTAAATACTCAACTCGACCAATAATGGCGGTGAAAGGTGTTCAATAACGAGTTTAGTTTTGGGGAGACATTTTTAGGTGTCTACACACCCTAACCCTATTTTTCGAATTTTTCAAAATTTATAGCCCTAAAATATGATTTTTGTGCTTGATTTTGATTTAATTCGATTTATTTTATGATTCATAATTTTAATCGGATTGATTTATGCATAAAAGTGTT